CTCCTTATAACCAAATCCTTTCATCTTTTTCTCTCTATCACCTATCTCTCCACGTCACTATCCACCTATCATCTATCTTTCTATCTTCTACATCTATCCATCTATCTATCCATCATCTGTCATCTCTATCTCACTATCATTTATCTTCATCTACCTATCTATCTCTCCATCTCCCTATCTAGCTATCATCTATCTTTCTATCTTCTATATCTATCCATCCATCATCTATCTCCCTAGTCTCTGTCTCAATATGCTGAAGATAATGAAGAAGCTGAAGTTGAATGGTTCTATGAAGACCTACAAGACCTTCTGGGACTAACACCTAAAAAAGATGTCCTTTTCATTATAGGGGACTGGAATGCAAAAGTAGGAAGTCAAGAAACACTTGGAGTAACAGACAAATTTGGTCTTGGAGTACAGAATGAAGCAGTGCAAAGGTGAATAGAGTTTTGCCAAGAGGATGCACTGGTCATAGCAAACACCCTCTTCCAACAACACAAGAGAAGACTCTACACATGGATGTCACCAGATGGTCAATACTGAAATCAGATTGATTATATTCTTTGCAGCTAAAGATAGAGAAGCTCTATACAGTCAGCAAAAACAAGACTGGGAGCTGACTGTGGCTCAGATAATGAACAACTTTTTGCCAAATTCAGACTTAAAGTGAAGAAAGTAGGGAAAACCACTAGACCATTCATGTATGACCTAAATCAAATCCCTTATGATTATACAGTGGACGTGATAAATAGATTCAAGGACTAGATCTGAAAGACAGAGTGCCTGTTGAACTATGGACGGAGGTTTGTGACATTGTACAGGAGACAGGGATCAAGACCATCCCTAAGCAAAAGAAATGCAGAAGAGCAAAATGGCTGTCTGAGGAGGCCTTACAAATAGCTGTGAAAAGAAGGGAAATGAAAAGCAAAGGAGAAAAGGAAAGATATACCCATTTGAATGCAGAGTTCCAAAGAATAGCAAGGAGAGATAAGAAAGCCTTCCTCAGTGATCAGTACAAAGTAATAGAGGAAAATAATAGAATGGGAAAGACTAGAGATCTCTTCAAGAAAATGAGAGATACCAAGGGAACATTTCATGCAAAGATGTCCTCAATAAAGGACAGAAATGGTATGGACCTAACAGAAGCCGAAGATATTAAGAAGAAGTGGCAAGAATACACAGAAAAACTATACAAAAAAAATCTTCATGACCCAGATAATCAGGATGGTATGATCACTCACCTAGAGCCAGACATCCTGGAATGTGAAGTCAAGTGGGCCTTAGGAAGCATTCACTATGAACAAAGCTAGTGGAGGTGATGGAATTCCAGCTGAGCTATTTCAAATCCTGAAAGATGATGCTGTTAAAGTGCTGCACTCAATATGCCAGCAAATTTAGAGAACTCAGCAGTGGCCACAGGACTGGACAATGTCAGTTTTCATTCCAATCCCTAAGAAAGGCAATGCCAAAGAATGCTCAAACTACCACACGATTGCACTCAACTCACACACTTGTAAAGTAATGCTCAAAATTCTCTAAGCCAGGCTTCAGCAATACATGAACCATGAACTTCCAGATGTTCAAGCTGGATTTAGAAAAGGCAGAGGAACCAGAGATCAATTTGCCAACATCTGTTGGATTATTGAAAAGGCAAGAGAGTTCCAGGAAAATGTCTATTTCTGCTTTATTGACTATGCCAAAGCCTTTGACTATGTGGATCACAATAACTGTGGAAAATTCTGAAAGAGATGGGAATACCAGACCATCTGACCTGCCTATTGAGAATCTATATGCAGGTCAGGAAGCAACAGTTAGGACTGGACATGGAACAACAGACTGGTTCCAAATAGAGAAAGGAGTATGTCAAGGCTGTATATTGTCACCCTGCTTATTTAACTTATTTGCAGAGTACATCATGATAAATGCTAGTCTGGGTGAAGCACAAGCTGGAATCAAGATTGCCGGGAAAAATATCAATAACCTCAGATATGCAGATGACACCACCCTTATAGCAGAAAGTGAAGTAGAACAAAAGAACCTCTTGATGAAAGTGAAAGAGGAGAGTGAAGAAGTTGGCTTAAAGGATCAACATTCAGAAAACTAAGATCATGGCATCTGGTCCCATCACTTCATGGCAAATAGATGGGGAACAGTGGAAAAAGTGACAGACTTTATTTTTGGGGGGGGGGAGCTCCAAAATCACGACAGATGGTGACTGCAGCCTTGAAATTAAAAGACACTTCTCCTTGGAAGAAAAGCTTTGACCAACCTAGATAGCATATTAAAAAGCAGAGACATCACTTTGCTGACAAAGGTCCATCTAGTGAAAGCTATGGTTTTTGCGGTAGTCGTGTGTGGATGTGAGAGTTGGACTATAAAGAAAGCTGAGCACCAAAGAATTAATGCTTTTGAACTGTGGTGTTGGAGAAGACTCTTGAGAGTTCCTTGGACCGCAGGGAGATCCAACCAGTCCATCCTAAAGGAAATCAGTCCTGAATATTCATTGGAAGGACTGATGTTGAAGCTGAAGCTCCAATACTTTGGCTACCTGATGCAAAGAACTGACTCATTTGAAAAGACCCTGATGCTGGGAAAGATTGAAGGTGGGAGGAGAAGGGGATGAGAGAGGATGAGCTGGTTGGATGGCATCACCAACTCAATGGACATGAGTTTGAGTAAACTCCTGGAGTTGGTATTGGACAGGTAAGCCAAGTGTGCTACAGTCCATGGAGTCACAGGGTCGGACACGACTGAGGGACTGAACTGAACTGAATCCTCTACCTTTCTATATCTATATATCTAACCATATCTGTGTATCTATCTATTTAATCTATTTATCTATCTATCCATTCATCCATGTATCTGTCTATTTACCTTCCTATTATCTACCTATCTATCAACAGCAAGTTTGAAGCATTTGAGCAGCCTACCCTCTTGGTAAGAGGATAATTAGAATGATCTGGTCTCTTAGTCACAAGCACCACTGCTCTCTAGATGGGGCCCTCCAGGTTTTAATAGATTCTCTCACCTTATCCTTTACTTGCCCTGCAACCAGAGCACAGGCTGAGAAATTGTATGCGTAGGTGGGGCTCCTGGGAGAGCTAAATGCATGTACAGAGCAGATTTTGTGAAGCAGCCTCCAAGATGCCCCCCAGCAGAAATCAGCAGTGCCCCCTAGGGTATTTTAAGGTTAAATACACTTGAATGGGAAACACTGGGATAAGTTTTGAAAGACTGTGTTCAGATTTCACCTGGAGGAGCAAATGTAATTTTTAAATTGAAAAAAAAAAATCAATCCTTGGAGGTTTTTCGGACTGAATCCTATATGAAAGAAGTAACTGGAGCAGGGAAATTTTATTAATGGGTGTTTTTAGGAATCAAGGCAAATAAAAGTGACTTACATGCCATGTATTAGTGATTCACTTAGAATTGTTTGGGGACCCAAAAGGTAGCATGACATTCAGGGCAGGCTCTTTCAAAGGAAGGGTTAAAGTTTGAGTCATAGATTATGGGTAAAGAGAAAGCATTCCCAGACCCAATAAGTAAAGTTTGACGTGGCAGATCCAAGATGATATCTTTAATTTGTTTGAAACCAAAGACTTTCAATTCCTGGCAGAAGAAGTTTTAACCTTTTAGTAAAAGAATCAGGGCAAGTGGGAAGTAAGTATTTAATTATATTTCTAAAATGATATCAGTTTGAGGAAAGATCTCATATGCTTGTGTATTTGTATACCAAGTGGCTGTCTATACCAAGCAATTTATTTTGCTATTAACTTAATAAGAAATGCATTAAGATTTCACTTAGGCTTTAGTTTCAGTTTTTTTTTTCGAATGCAGAAGAAGTATTCCCTTTCCCATTAATCTATGACCTAGTTGGATTCAAAAGGAAATTTCATAATAGTGCAAATATTCCTTTAAGACTAAGCCCAGACCCAGGGCCAAACATAGCCAGCCTCCATGGACAGGCTGTGTTTTCTTTCCCATTAAATGATGGTCTCAGAATAGGCCTATTTCTATTATAGAAGCAGAGCAATTTAAATTGCATTTCTAAATATAATATGTTCAAGGCAGTGACTTTAAAAATTCATATCTGAACTCGTATCACTTTCATCTTGACTTTTTATACTCAAAGTAGTTCATGAATTTGCAAAGAATATTCTTTCCCTAATTCATTTTTGTTGGTTTTTTGAACCTTAGGAATTGTGCATTGATTTGTGAGATGTAAATTCTTCATCGGCTTCTGCCCTGGAAAGTTACCTTAGGAATTGTGCATTGATTTGTGAGATGTAAATTCTTCATTGGCTTTTGCCCTGGAAAGTTGATGTTACACCTTTTCCCTAATTTTTCTGTCCATTCCAAGAGAAGAATAAAAATGTGTCTGCTCTCTTTGTAACAATATTTTGAGGGCTCAGATGAAATCTGTTATGTTTTCGGTCCTCCTCAGAGGAAAATGCATATAAATAGCAAATGTTTAAAAATTGGATTATTCCACTGTATGGTACTAAGGCATTTTATGCAGACTCTGCAGATATAAACTTTGCACCTGAATTGTCTTGCTTTCTAAGACATAAGGAAATTGAAGCCAAGTTATAATTCTATTTCTTGTTAATAATGGAGCTCAAATTAGACCATGTAAAGCAAACAGTGGTTTAAATTAGTTTTGCACTTGAAATGAACAACACAAATAGAAGTTTTGCTGTGGGGGAAGCATTGAATTAGATCTAGGTTTCATCCGAGGCTGGTAATTAAATTTTCAGGTAAATCTTGTTGAGTCTGAGAAGAAAAACATTCTTTTTGATATTCTCAGTCTTCTTAAACAGAGTAAGCCTCGGGGTTTTCTTTTTTCCCTTGGTGTTCTGTGTGTCTGAATTATAGTGGGGGAGGGGGAGAATGTGTTATATGGTGCAAGTTGTATCATATGGTATAAGTGATTGAGTATGAGGTTTCTGTCATTGAATCGAAATTAAAGGTACCATTCAGAAATTATGTTTGTTTTCTAGGGACACAACCAAATCATAACATACAGCAGACCAATCTATTTCTGTGTGCTGTGTGGCCTTATTTTGCTTCTTGATACAGGGGCCAAAGCCAGGCACCCTCCCACTTACATTGTGTATGGTCTGAAGCTCTTCTCTCCAGGGTCCCTCCAGTGGGCTCGGGACCTCTTAATAGGTGAGTTCATTTGGGGGGATTGTGGGAAAGGTCACAGAGACGGGAGGGTATTTCTCCCCTTGATTTTCTGAATCCCTCATTGGAGAAACTTTCTTACTTGCTTATTGGATCAAGAGATGTGCATGTTCCTTTTGGTTTGCGTGCTTTCAGTAGACTCTCTGGGAGCCAGAGCCCAAAGCATCCAACAATGGACTTATTCTAAAGCAGAGGTCCCCTACCTTTTTGAAACCAGGGACTCATTTCATGGAAGACAATTTTTCCACCCATCAGGGGTTGCGGGGGTGGGGGGGGGATGGTTTGGGGATGATTCAAGCGCAGTAGGGTTTGTGCTCCTATGAGTATCTAATGTGGCCACTGATCTGACAGGAGGCGGAGGTCAGACAGTAATGTGAGTGATGGGGAGTGGCTGTAAATACAGATGAAGCTTTGGTTTCTCACCCGCCACTCACCTCCTGCCGTGTGGCCCAGTTCCTAATCAGCATCAGTCCATGACCTGGGGGTTGGAGACTTTGTTCTACAGGATGTTGATACTCATGACTAGGGAGCTGCAGCACTTAATATCTGAAGACAGGTGGCTTAGGGTACCTGGTGTGGGGCATCAGTGGGACTCCCCAGGATGGGAGTGATTTTTGTCCACAAGGTGGTGGTCACAGACTCACCCACATGGCACAGATGCTCTGGAAATGTGAATGGATGTGGTTCTCAGTCCACATGGCGTCCTGGATATGCTAGTCACCTAGCTTTTCACTGGTTTGCTTTACTTGCCTGAAGGTCCAGGCAGTGTTTGATGTAAAATGCTCCACTTACACAGGTGACCTTCATGGTATCATGGTGTAGAGCCCCAGCTCTGGAGCCAGATGGCTGGCTATTTGAATTCCAGCTCTGCTTCTTTCCTACTTGTGTGACCGTGAGCAAAATTCAGCTGTAGTTTGAGGATAAAAATAGTACACACCTCAGAGGTTGTTGCAAGCTTTAGATGTGTTAGTATATTTCAACATATAGAAGAGCGTCTGGGACCAGGTGTTAGCTAGTATTATCTTTATTATGCAAAGAGGCTGCCCCATTGTGGACCTGCAGCTCTGAAGACTTGACTGCCAATGCTATGAGAATTCCTGTGATGACACCCAGAGGATTACACTCGTACTCATGTGTGATTATCTGATCACATTGACCAGATGAGTTGATAAAGGGCAGCTACCAGAGGCTGCACTTCCTGGATCTGTTACTTGCCAGCTGGAAGTTTTCCTCGGGGACACTGTCAGAGCCACAGGTCCTGCATCATCATTCTCTGATCCTGTGACAACTCGTGGAGTCTCTCCAGTGGGACTCAGGAGGACCCCAGATATGATGTCTCTGTGCTTCTTAGAGGTGAAAACTGGAGGAGACATCCCACCTTCTGGCTCACTTTCCCAGCTGTCATCTCGCATCCCTCTTCCTACCGTTTTGGTAGCAGACTGTTCACTCCCCTCACACTCGGCCCACTGCATGAACCCACCTCTGTCTGCATCCTCAGCACCTCGATTCCTGCTGTATCGTGTGAGGAGCTGAGTGTTGGGACCATGTTTCAGAGACTCTCTGAATTCTAACAGGAAACAGAAACAAGTTGAGAGAAATGTAGGAACTGATCCCATGATTAAACCCTAGTTGGTGTCCTCTTGGTCACTTCCCAGATAGTTCAGTGGTAAAGAGCCTGCCTGTGATTCAGAAGACTCAGATTCAGTACCTGGGTCGGGAAGATCCCTTGGAGGAGAAGATGGCAACCCACTCCAAAATTCTTGCCTGGGAAATTCCTTGAACAGAGGAGCCTGGCAGGCTACAGTCTATGGGGCCCCAAAGAGTCGGACACGACTGAGCGACTAAGCACACACACACATGGTGTCCTTTTGCCCAAGAATCTTTACTTCTACTCTGCTTTTTTTCTACTCTCGTACTTTTCACTTTACTTTTTATATTATTTGAAATTCTGTCAAAACACACACACACACACACACTATGAAGGACTTTAAGTCCCTTCTACCTTCCCATAAATTAGCTCACCCCTCTGCCTTCTGAGATCAGCTTCAGTGAAGGAGTCAGGGCCTGGGTAGGCAGACATGCCCCATCACCACTGCACACACGTGAGAGGACTGTCCTTTCCTGTCATCTTCTTTTCATAAACAGCAGTGCTGGACTCCAGAGTCTTCAGTCAAGGGCATGGGGGGAGATGTAGAGGGCACACAAGGGTTTCGGAAGGTGTCCAAGAAACACCTGTCTGTGCCATAACATTGCCGTTTCTTGTCTGTGCCCACCCTCAGTCTTGTGTCCCCCGTGGACCTCTTTCCTGAGGATCTCAGTGAGCGTGAGTGTCGTCAGACTTCCATGTCTTAGAGGCCATGAGGGTTTGCAGCCTGGCCTGAAGCCCGTGTCTTCTCAGCTCATCTTTGTGTCCCTTCTCTGCCGCACTCCCAGCCCCAACGGCAATACACACTATGCTAGACAACGATGACAATCATTGCTAGACAATCATATGCTAGACAATCATTTCCCTCAGTTGGGTCCCATCTTCTCTTCTTGCACAACCCCTGCTTTTCATAATATCGGACTCATTCTGTAGTCATCTGCTCCATTTGTGATGTTTGACCATGTCCATCTCTGTCACTAGCTTGGACATTCCCCCAGGGAATCCCCGGTACTAAGCATGGTGTCCAGTGCATACAGGTGCTAAGGAGACACCTTGTGGAGGGATGAGCATGGAGTATGCTTTAAATACCAAAGGAATTACTGTACAGAGGACTTTGGAACACTTCCCGTTCATAAATCAGGAAAAGTCTATAGTCGTTTTGGGACTGTTCAACTCAGCCCTTAGAATAAGTAGGAATTTTGTAAGTACCTTTTACAGATGGTTTGTATAAAGAGATTTAGAAGAGGAAAAGCATGACATATATTCCACTTAGAAATCATTTTTTTCTGAATAGATCTCCCCTATTCCTATTTTTCTTTAATTTGCTACTATGAAAAAGCCAATGCTATTGAATAAATGCAGTTGTCTTGGCATAGTGGACTCACCATACCATCAGAAAGTAAAATTAAATGTTATTAAAGCTCAAAAAGTAAGACCTTAATGTAATTGGTCAAAGTCTAAGATTTTACTTTTAGCAGTAACCCTGGTTCTAGAATTGGCTATTAGCTATGTACATTCAAATTTTATTTATCTTCAAACCAGTGTCATTAGGGAGTGGAGATGGGGCAGGGAACATGGCATTTCTTATCTTTTCCGCCAGAATTCCCCTTTTTCTCATTAAAACTCCCCCTTAATACATATCCTGTCTGCTTGTCAACAGTGAGGAGAGTAGTGATAAATAATCCAGCGCGCCGACTTAATGACGTCAGGGCCAACGAAAGTGGAAACAGAACAGTGGCAACCCCTATGGGACGAAGGTGGTAGGCGTTACTAGTTTGTACCAAACAGGAAAAGATGGAGGGACAAATTTAGACAGAAAGAGAGGCTTATACAAAGTTTCCGACTTTATGAGGGAAAAGAAGTTCAGAGTCATCTATTCTTCTTTGTCACCTTCTGTCCCTCAGCTTCCAAGGGATCTGAGTGGGTTGTGGCTGCTGACATTGTTAGGTTCAGAGTTAGCAAGAAGAGAAAGGAAAAACTTCAGGGAAAACAAAAGGTTGTTGGGAAGAAAAAGGGGAGTTTTAATGTCCTGAGAAAGTACCACAAATGGGTGGCTCGGAACAGCAGAAGTGTGTGTCTACTAGTTCTGGAGGCCAGAGGTCTAACATCTCTGAAAGCCCAAGGGGAAGATATTCTCCAGGCTGTCTCCTCGGCCTGTCAGTGGCCCTCTTCTCCCTGTATCTCTTCACATTATTCATCGTCCCTGTCTTTGTATCCGAATTTCCCGTTTATAAGGATTTCAGTCATATTAGATTAAAGCCCATTCTAATGATCTCATCATAATGTGGTAATCTGCAAAGACCCCCATCTCCAAATAAAGCCTCATTCACAGGTCCTTGGCGTTCGGACTGTGACATCTTTTGGAGGGGCGCAATTTAACCCATTCGACAAGGAGCATCTAAGAGAAAGGACATGAGAAAAGTAGGAACTGAGTACGTGAGACATTTACCATCGTGGGCCCGAAGATGCTTGTGTGCCCATCATGCTGAGGGAGTGGTCCTCTTCTGACTGATGCTGCAGTGTGCAAAATAGTGCCTGGAGCTGTGCTTTCTGGGTAATATCTCTATTCCCCACTGCTGCTCTTGGTTTCTGCTCAGACCACCAACCTACCAGAGTGTAGAGAGGCGGCAGAGGAAGAGGAACAGGAAGAGAGGAAGATGTAATGTCTGCTGCCTTATTCTGCCTCCCAGGGCAGAAGGGGTTGAAAGTGAGCCAGGGGTAGGAGATGAGTTTAGTGGCCATTGGGCAGGTGGGGAGGTTGGAGAAGCTCTTTGCCACGTGTGACAGGAGAAGAGAACATCAGATAACAGAACTATAGAAGGAGGAGAAAGTGCAGTGATAAGGAACAGCTCTACACCAGACCACTTCACCAGTCTTGGCAGTGAGCTGTAATCCGCCTACTAGACAGTGGAGAGATGCAGAACCTTCCGAGAGATAAGGAACCTGGAGAATAAAATTGACCCAAGAAGAAAGACAAAGTCAGTGGTGCGACTAGTTGTTTCTGTAGGCCGAGGGCTGAATTCAGGAAATAGAAACACTCAGGGTGATATTCTTACATAATTTATCTCTCTTTATGATCTTTCAAAATGTTCATAATATCACTTCTCTTTCATTATAAGGAAAAAGTCTTTCTTTTTTCCTCCACGAGTAAGGTGAAAAAGACCTTTCTAGTGTTCATTTCCTTTGCTGACCTCTGGGCTGAAATTTTTATTACTTTGCATTTGGGTAGCTTCAACAAAAGCCTATGAGTGTGACTGGCTTTGTAATCATCCTTTGGATGAGAAAGCCAAGAGGTCTGCAGTCCCTAGTACTATATTTCAAGAAGAGCAGTAACACCACCAAGGTGTGCTCTGAGAAGTGTGGCCACATCGGCTACACGGGGTCTTCACGTGGGGCCAGGGAATGGGGATGTCCAGCCTAGAGAGGAAATGCTGGGGTCCTGGGGGCACACATGGTGGCTGCAGGTGGTTAAAAGGCTGCCAGATTGGAACAGGAGAGATTTTATTTCTGTTGGAGTAGCTGTGATAACGAGTTCCACTGTCTAGTAGGTGGATTACAGCTCACTGCAGGACTGGTGAAGTGGTTTGGTGTAGAGCTGTCCAGTAGGGCCATGGGTTGCCTAGTGAAGCAAGGAGTTCCCTAACATGGGAAGAACTTGGGCAAAATGAGACAGCATCACTTACAGAAGGGTTCCATGTGCTTAATGGGTCCTTTTCAGATGTGACAGTTTGATATTTTGTTTTAGTCTTTAGGACCATCACCTGCTACCTACACTAAAGCAGCTTCAATGATGTAACCCTTGGAGATAATGGAGGTTTTGTAACCAGTGACTGAGGTGGATCCACTTTCACCTGCACACTGAGACACACATTTCCATGTCTCGTGTAAAGACTTGTCTCTTGGCCCCAGTAATCCACGTCAGGACCATATGCTAAAGCACAGATATGACATGTAGGAGACACACAGTGTTTGCAGTCGTACCAAGTTCAGTTGCTCAGTGGTGTCCAGCTCTTTGTGACTCCATGGACTGCAGCACGCCAGGCTTTTCTGTTCTTCACTATCTCCCAGAGTTTGTTCAAACTCATGTCCATTGAGTCGGTGATGCCATCCAGCCATCTCATCCTCTGTCACCTGCTTCTCCCTCCTGCCCTCAATCTTTCCCAGCATCAGGGTCTTTTCCTTGGTTTTATTTCTGTGTTATTTTAATTTTTCTCACCTCTCCCCACCCCAACCTGCAAATATAGTAATGAATATTATTATTCACATTTAACATAAGAAAGGAGCAAGTTCCAATATTTTTATTTATACCCTGTGCTTGAAAAGAAATGGAACTGTACCAGAAGTTTCTGCATTTATGGTAATTATTAGGGAACATGAGGAGTAGGCAGGATGTGAGAGAAAATTACAGACCCTCCCAGCAGTACACTAAGAAAAAACTCTTTGTTCACAGGGAAGATTGCCAACAAACACAGCGATTTGTTTATTTTTCACTTTTGGGAAAAAAGACAAATTCATTTCAGCAACTTCAGGTGGAATTTTCCAGTCGTCCTACTAATGCCACAAGGTTTGGGCTGCGTTTTCATTCACCTGTTCCACTCTGGCTTTAAAGGCGAGAGACTTCCTTCTCTACTTCCGCCTGGGGATAAGCTAAATCCTGGGCTCCCCGTCGTCTGCTTTCCTTCCTCTGCTGTGTTCTTCTGCTCCTGCTCCACAGGTGTGGCCAGAGCATCTTCGGTTAAAACTTCTGGTGTCTTGTACCATTTATTTTTCTCCTGCCATCCTTCATCGTATTCCACTTCTTTCGACTTTATTAATTTGAGTGTTATTGCCTAATGTATTTCTTTGGATAATATTTATTCTATTTATTATATATTTATCTGGCTATGCTGGGTCTTAATTATGGCGTGCAAACTCTTGCATGTAAGAGCAAGTTCCTTGACCAGAGATGGAACCCCAGACCCCTGCATTGTGAGCATGGAGTCTCAGCCACTGGACCACCATGAGGGTCCAAGCCTAATGTATTTCTTGTAGAAAATACTTATTTACCCATGTTTCACTGCACAGGTTCAGTATTTGGCTGCCATTATTGTATTATTTCACAGTCAAAAATTTTTTCCCTGTAGTTCTTCATTCTTGGTATAGTTTTTGAACTAATGATATCTTGTTGCACCTTCCCTCTGCTCCTGTCCTAGTCATGAAGAATGCAATGAACTGTCTAATCTTCACTGCTGGGTTTTGAATCCCAAAGTTAAGAACAACTAGTCAGTTTTCTTGAAAGTACATAAGTTAAAATTTTGATGCTCAAAACTATATGTCCTATCATTAACTTTCTATCTATTTCTTCTATCTTTCCTTTCATATAAAAACTGAGAAAAGAAACTGTCTTATGTGGTTATGACTAGCAGATATCTATTTGTGTCTTATTGCCAACTTTGTTTTTGTTCTAAATTTTATTGAAGTATAGCTGATTTGTAATGTTGTGTTAATTTCTGCTGTACTGGAGAATGACTCAGTTATACATATATGTATGTGTATATATATATATATTCTTTTCCATTATGGTTTATCACAGAATATTGAATATAGTTCCTTGTGCTATACAGTAGGACCTGGTTGGTTGGCTGTTGTTCAGTCACTCAGTCGAGTCCAACTCTTTGTGACCCCATGGACTGCGTCAGGCCAGGCTTTCTGTCCTTCACTCTCTCCCGCAGTTCGCTCAGACTCACGTCCATTGTGTCAGTGATGCCATCCAACCGTGTCATCCTCTGTTGTCCCCTTCTCCTTCTGTCCTCAGTCTTCTTTGCCAGTACCAGAGTCTTTCCCAGTGAGTCGGCCCTTCACTTAATGGGGCCAGAGTATTGGAGCTTCAGCTTCAGTCCTTCCAATGAATATTCAGGGTTGATTTCCTTTAGGATTGACTGGTTTGATCTCCTTGTTGTCCAGGGGATTCTCAAGAGTCTTTTCCATCACCACAATTCAGAAACATCAATTCTTTGGCACTCAACCTTCTTCGTGGTCCAACGCTCACATCCGTGCATGACTACCGGAAAAACCATAGCTTTAACTGTATGAACCTTTGTTGGCCATTATCCATCCTATATATAATAGTTTGCATCTGCTAACCCCAAACTCCAAATCCATCCCTACTTCTACCCCTTGTTATTGCCAACTTTGACTGAGAAGCATGTTACTCACAGATCTCTAGATTTTCACAATATAGTTTAAATCTGGTGACAGAAAACATTACAACAAAATCACCATGTATGTCAAAATATGGCTCCAATCCCAAGCAAAGGCTCGTTTGTCATAGCCATGTTTGTTGCATAAAATTTTACCTCCTCACAATGTTAGAACAGTTGTTTGGCATTGTTGTAGTGGGGTTTGTTCCATATTATTGTAGTGGGGTTAACCCACTATTCTCCAGATAATGGGACACGCAAACGCTCTCATCCCTACGATTTCACTGTGGAAAGTTTACATTTCCAGTTCTTCAGAAATAGCTGAAACACAGTCCTCATCCTTCCTGCGTGCACTGTTCACTGTGGTTTATGTATGGGGCTTGGACATAGTTCCATGTTTAGGCGTCTTAGATTTCAAATCAAATTTCCCTAGTTTTATTAAGGTTTACCAGTATTAAACTTCATTGACTTCACACCCAATAAACTGAGATAGAAAGGTAGACAGATATACCATACTACCACTAATAGGAGTTTCTGTGTTTCTATGAAACCTAACTGAAATAGGATTGAGAAAGAGAGAATGATGGGTAAATTGCTGTAACATGCAGCTTGACTGTATGTTATTTCCCTGAACAAATGATCTCTGTGAGACTTTGAATTATAATGTATAGAAGGTGTTAGTCGCTGACTCATTGCAACCCCATGGACTGTAGCCCACTCGGCTCCTCTGTCCATGGAATTCTCCAGGCAAGAATACTGGAGTGCGTTACCATTCCCTTCTCCAGGGAGTCTTCCTGACCCAGGGATCGAACCCGGGTCTCCCACACCGCAGGCAGATTCTGTACCACCTGAGCTGCCAGGGAAGCCTGTAATGTGTATGTTTCATCCAATTGCGCTGTGATGGTCTGGGGGCCAGCATTCTTCCTCTTCTCGGGCAGGGCCCCCTTCACCTCCCAGGTGACCGGCTGCACCTAAGAAGCAGGTCCTTCAGTGTCATAGCATCACGGTGATGGGGTTTCTTTGTCAACTGCCACCTTCCCTTGCTCCTCTCTGGGTTCTGACTGAGCTCTGAGTTCAGAGCTCAAGCGAAGACACCATAGCTCAAGCCCTTGAAGGGACAAAGCCAGTAGCTTTGCAGGAAGAGAGCCCCTAATGACTGGCCTTGGGTTTTGCATGTTCCAGTCATTTTCCTGGTCCTCTTTCTCCTGTCTCATCTCCCCCAAGTTCAGGTCTGTCCTTGCAAACTAAAGGCCAGTCTACTCTCTACCTACCATCCCCAGGTGTCCTGGGCCAGCCTGCTGGCCTCTCCTTCAGCAGCCCCTCTTGTTACTTCCAAGGCCTGTGTTTGGTTTGGCCTCAGCCTCCATCAGTGGCTGGGGGAGAAGAGGCCATGGTGTCTCCAGGACCAGGGCGGGGTGGACTGGGCTGAAAGGTGGGAGGGAGGTGGGATTGCGGTGGAACCTGGGCCCCTGTTTCTGTGTGCTCACTCTCAATTTTTTCTGTTTGCTTTCAGTATTTCTCTATTGCTTCCCTGCAATCTCCCTCCTTGGACTCTTCCCACAGATCAACACTTTCTGCATTTATCTTTTGGAGCAAATTGACATGCTGTTTTTTGGAGGTTCTGGTAAGTCTTTTACAATCTGTTCTTTCTGTAAAAAAGTCTCAAGTTCAGATAAGGGCTAAATAGCCTCAGGCATGGAATGAAACGTGGACAGTTAGGTTTTCTTTGTCCTCGGCCTTAAAGGACTTCAGCTTGGGTTGGTCAGGTTGATTGTGGGCCCTTCTAGATTCATCTGGCCAAATTGAAAGTGGCCCACCTGCCTTGACACAAGCAGAAAACAGGGAAGTGTAGAATTCTATGAGCTTTGGATTTGGTTTAAAACTGAAACTGTGAGTCGCTCCGTCGTGTCCAACTCCTTGCGACTCCATGGAATATGGCCCACTAGGCTCCTCTGTCCATGGGATTCTCCAGGCAAGAATATTGGAGTGGTTACCATTTCCTTCTCTAGGGGATCTTCTGGACCTAGGGATTGAACCCGGGTCTTCTGCATTACAGGCAGATTCTTTACCATCTGAGCCACCAGGGAAGCCTGGACTTGGTTTAGGGACCCTCTAATTCTTCGTTGGAAAAGCTGTATGTGTGAATGTATGTGAACATGAGTGAGTGGAGGTTAGCGTGTGAGCATGTGCATTTGAGCACGTGCCTGAATGAGTTAGTCTGGGAGCATGTGGGTGTGACATTGTGAGTGTATGTTGTGTGCGGGCCTGTACAGACAGGTGACCTACGCCCTTTCACTTGGTGTGTCCCTTACTTTCTGACCAAGGTGGGTAAAGCTTCATCTAATGCTTACTTGGAGACTTTACCCAGATTTCTTACCTTTAAAACTTACTCTTCTCTAAATGGAAACTAACACACTGATCTCATGGGGTTGCTGTGAGGATTTCATGAAGTCATGTACACAAAGCATTAGAGCATAGCGGGTGATCTGTTACAGCTGCCTCCTCCTTGTATACATGCACACACGTACACACACACCTACACACACAGGAGTGCTGGCTTGTTCTGTTTATCTATCTATTCATTCATTTATCCATCTATCTATTAATCTAACTAGCTATCTATTCATCCATCTCTATATATCTATGTATGTATCCACCTATTATGTATCTCTCATCTGTCTATCATCTATTCATCTATTAATATCTATGTATCTATCTTTTCATCTATTTATTCATCTATCTATTTATCATTCATCCACCCATCATCTATCTGTACATCTATTCATCTATTCCTCCTTCTATTATCTGTCTTTCATCTGTCTGTCTCTCATCTATCTTTCTATTCATCCATCATCTATTTGTGGATAGATTTATCTATTTATCTATCCCTATCTGTGTCTAATTTCCATTTCCATATTTGTCCCCTCTCTCTCTCCTTTCTTCTATTAAAATCACATCTCTGATCTTTCCTGGGCCAGGAGCTTCCAACTATAAGCAACAAGGTCTCCCCACCTCCACAATGACTGGTTCACAGTCTTCTAAAAGTTATCAAAAGTTCTTTCTAACTGTGGTCTTCCTGAGTTTTTAGTTAAAGGCCAGTGTCTTTCTTGTGCTAAGCGTCACCCAGTGCTTTTTGGCTGCCCTGTGGACTGAGGCTTTGCCCCTTTGGCAGGCATTCTGCATTTGAAAGTTACAAACTTTGCTTTCTTACCGTATGTGTTGACCGTGAGACCTGCCAGTCCAGAAGGGAACTCTTGTTTGTGTTCCAGCCGTTTCGGGGATGCTGTCAGCTGTTTACAGCGTGGCCCGGAGTGCGTCCGCCGCGGCTGTGCTGCACGTGTTCTGCTTCAGTGCCGTGAAGGTAGGTGCGAGGCCAAGGGCCCTCTTCTCACGCCCAGCGAATTAACTGTGCTGGAAGTAAACAAACACCTCCTCCAATTACAAGAGGAACGGGATCTGAGCACATCAGGAGTAACAGGGCCTGGAGCATGAGGCCTCAGTGGTCTAGAAGATGCAGTAAGATACCTGGTTGGCTACTGACCACAAAGCCCACCTGCTCTGAGCCCCTCACGCTTGCAGGTGTCTGCCTGGCCCAGTGAGGTACTGACACTGGGTGGGGCTCTGGCTTAACATGGCAAACAGGCTCCCACTTGCTTACTGGTGCTTCCTTCTGAAATACCACTCAGAAGATGGGAAAAGGATACAATTGCATAAAGCTTTATGGACAGAGAACAGGAATGGATGTGATAGCAAAAAGTGTTAGAATCTAGAAAAGAGATGGACCATAGATTTATTCAGATGGAGAAAGTTAAAACCCAGGCTGGCAGCAAAGGAAACCTAGGATGATAAAAAAAAAAACAACAACAAGATAAGTATTAACTTTTGGAAAAGAACAAGTAGTATCAGAAAAGAAATGTATGGCCAGTGCATGGCTCAGCCGTGAATAATATGTTGTATTTACGACAGTCTGAATAACAGTTGCAACTATAATAGCAGAATAGGGGGAGATGAAGTGTGTGTGTGTGTGTGTGTGTGTGTGTGTGTGTGTGTGTGTGTATGCCTATCTGACTTTGCAGAGGTCTTAATCTTGTCTTCCATATTAGAAAGTCAGCAAATAATATCTGAAGTTGAAAAAAGTCAAGAAATAACAAAAGCATGTTATTTGGAAATATGGAGGAAAATAGGTGAAGGAGAAACAGCTGAAAGTCACTGCCTTCAGGCAGTAGGAATTAGAGCAGAGAGATGCATGATGTGGGCAGAGGACCACTGCTGTTCATCCCTACATGCGGAGCTGCAGAGGTTCCATGAAGTCTGAAACAAAACACGTTCAGGGCCATTTTCAATCAGTAAAAAAGTAATTGACTGATAGTATACTTATTTCTTGACTTTATGGACACTCTGCCTTTAATGTGTTACACCACAAGTATGTCTTTGATAAAATAAAAATTAAATGCAAAAGAGTAAATGATATATGTTCCAAAGGGCTTTAAATAGAGAGCATATGGCATTTGTTAACTGACTTTTGAAAAGATTTTAATTTAAAATCGTATTAAACTCATCAGTATCAGTGGCAGCAATATAACTGTTTATTCCTCTTTGTGGAAGAGAGGAATTCAGTAATGTCCTCTTCCAATGAATCACAGTTGAATTTCTCTGGGGTAATCAATGGCATAATTCTCTCCTCACTCCTTCCATCCTTTTCATATGATTATCTTCTTTTGCATTAAAAAAAGGCAGAGGAGAAGGCTCCTTTTTCCAATACATAAGGGTAGCATACAGCTTTTGGTGGATCTGTTTGTCATCACATTTATACTTTTGGTGGATTTGTTTGTCATCACATATCTATTTGTCACATAGAACAATTATATAATTAATCAGTGCTTCTGGGTTCTTTCTTTTGAAATATAATTCCTTTATTCTGTCACAGGACCCAGGTATTCCATTCAGGAAAATTACTAAGATATTTTCTGAAAACCTCTTTCTACTGCTCTTTGGTAAAATGACTGCCTATAAAATTTGGGGGTCACAAGCTTTTCTCTGTAGGACCCTTTATATTTTGTTCTGTTATGTTCCAGTCTTTGCTTGTTTATACATTTATTTTTCATTGATTTTTTTGAAAGTCTGGTTCATTGAGATATAATTTGTGTGCTGCAGAACCCATATTTTTAATATACATAATTTGGTAAGTTTTGATAAAGAGTTTTCCAGGTGGCACAGTGGTAAAGAATCCTCCTGCCAATGCAAGAGACTCAGGAGATGCAGGTTTGATCCCTGGATCAGGAAGATCCCCTGGAGAAGGAAATGGCAACGAGCTCCAGTATTTTTGCCTGGAGAGGTCCATGGACAGAGGAGCTTGGCAGGCTTCAGTTCATGGAGTCACAGACAGTTAGACACGACTGAGCACAAGTTTTGATAAATATAAGTTTTGATAAATTCCTGCCTCCAAAACTGGAGAGATAGACAGGTAAATACAGAGAACCAAAACTTACTGCAACAGGAGCCCAGGAACAGAAACCTCTGTGGGAACCAGTACCAAGAGGAGGAAAACCCAAACTGTAGTTGACAAATTGCTGAAGGCTCAGTGTAGACAAGTCTGAGAGTGAATAACCCCAAGTGAATCCAGTCATTAGGGAAGTCCCACACTTGTGAGTTTCACCCCCATGAGCTCAACAGTGAATAACTGGAGAAGAATCCTCCTGCTTTCAGTAGGTGGAGGGGGAAGAGTAACCATTTTGAAATATAGCGAAGTATTCTGTTCTTAACCAAGCCTGCCTTAAGAGTTTACTGTAGCCTAAAGTACTGGGATTTTTCCAGAGCCTAACTGACCTGGAGGAAGGGAAATGCCAAACTCCAGTTTGGCTCCAGCCTTCCATGTGGGAAGGGGAAATACCCAATTCCAGCCCAGTCCATTCTTTCCATTCTGTCCCACCTAAGGTGGAGATGGGACTCAGAAGTACTTGTGAAGTTTACCATCTAGAGGTGCAGGGTTACCAAAATACAGAACTAATCGCTAGACTGTAGAGTTTCCCTACCTCACACATCAATACCATATTACTAAAGGTCTATTTACCATAGTTCCTTTTACCTCTTACATGTCTGGATACCAAGAAAAAAAATTACAAGGCATACTGAAAAGCAAAAAACACAGTTTGAAGAGAAATATCAAGCACTGGAACCAGACCTAGATATGACAAGGATATTGGAATTATCAGACTGAGAATTTAAAACAACTATGATTAGCATACTAAAGGTGCTAATTTATAAAGTGGACTGCAGGCAAGAACAGATGCATAGTGTAAGCAGAGAGATGGAAATTCCAAGAAAGAACCAAGAAGAAATGCTGGTGATTAAAAACACTCTAATAGAAATGAAGAATGCCCTTGGTGGGCTTATAAGTAGATTGGACATGACTGAGGAAAGAATCTCTGAGCTTAAGGAAATGTCAATAGAAACTTTCAAAATGGAAAAGCAGAGAGAAAAAAGACTGAAGAAACCCCAGAATATCCAAGAACTTTGGGACAACTACAAGAGGTATAGCTTATGTATAATGGATATACTGGAGAAGAAAGAATGGACTATAACTAAGAATGTTCCTGACAGAACTATCTAAAACTCCATCAGTAACACATTTTTCTAGGGGAAACAGACATCTGAGCTGGTTATATTGCTGTGATGGAAACAAGACATTAAAAAGTTCAATGAATTGACTTCCCAAGTCACTCCATGAGTGGTCAGACCAGAAACCTCACTTCTAGATTCTCTCTCAGTGTCAACTGTTAAATCAGACCTGCTTACTCTAAACCTTTGACTTATGATCAACCTTTGTCTCATGCCTCATGTTTTTGATCAGGTAAGCCTCATTTGAGAGTGAAAAATAATTCATTGATAATAGTATTGTTGTTGAATCTATGGAAGACAGAATATTCTTCCAAACACCGGATCCTTTCCACAAAGGAGCAACTCACTGGATTTCTTAGATTAATTTCTAAAGGAGAAAGGTATATGCTCTGAAAAACCCATTTTATGTGACAAATGTTTTTTGTTTGTTTGTTTTATTTTTGGCTGTTCCACTCAGCTTGGAGAGATCTTAGTTCCCCGACTGGAGATTGAACCCAAGGCCCTGCAATGAACATGCCCAGTCTTAACCACTGGACCTCCAAGTAATTTTCCTTGACAAATGTTGAAGGCTCATTATTACCAGTTCAAATATTATCAAAATTAATGTACACTCCTGGGGTTATGAAATAACTTTTTCTTGCAAAGTTCTTAAGAATCTGGAATTCAAAAAGATAGAACTCTTTTGGGAATTTTACCTAGCTGTGGGACATCTGCAGTCATTCCCTCACCTCCCCAAGTCCAGTTCCTTCCTCATATCAGAAACTGCTAATCAATGACAGCATTTTTGCTCACTGATGTCAGTAGGGCTCTGAGATGCCCAGACCGTATTACAGACAGCCAGTACCAAATGATCAGAGCCAGCCCAAGAGATAAAATCTATTTACCATCCTGGGCTGAGACTTTTATTTCTGTTTTCCTTTCTGTTTATGGCATGCCATCAGCTTAAGTCACTGTTGGATAAGAGCAAATAGATTCCACTTTGAAAGCGCACCGCCAACTCTGTTATGAGACTGAACACTTCAAAGACTCTGGGGTTTGCTTACATGTTGAAACAGGCTTTTTACCAGGTGAAACTGGGGTACATTGAAAGATTTATTTAGTCTCAGAGAGATATTGACTTTCTTGCTCAGCATAGAACAAGCATGCCTTGTGATAAACAGCATGATCTGCTGTTAGAGAAGCTTAATGTTCTATCTCAGTTTTGAAATACCTTTTAATTAAAAATAGAGCAATTTGCATTTCTCCCTTCTCATTTGTGAGTCCTGAGTATTCTAATGGTCTCAGATAGAGTCCCCACTTTAAAAAAATAGCCCCTATTAAATGCCGTGAATTGATTGAATGTGTTGAACAAATTGGCAAGGGGATCCTTAGGGAAAAAGAAAAGCTCACCCACATTCAACCTAACATACCCAGAGCTATGATTCCACTTCTTATTTAATGATGCTTTTGTTTATGACTTTTATGCTTACACTTTGCACTACTGGAATTGACTTTTTTCCCCTTTTATCTCTGCTGCGTAGTGATGGATTGAAGGGCCCTTGTGAGCAATTTCAGCATGTCAGCTGCCTTGCCAAGGATGTGTTCTTGATATGTATTTATATCCATGATCTTTATTATTCTCACTTGATTGAAGCAGATTGAGGGACTGGGGTTTAATTTTGCTCTCTGGAATATTAATTAGAGGAAGAAATTTTATTCCTCTTTTAATTTCATATTCTTTTTGACTCATCCAAGATGGTAGCA